TTTGTATCTCAAGCTACAACCTTTCTAATTAGTTTTCTATTATATACTCCTTGCTCTTGTAAGGTTCACATAGCCCCAATACTCATATTCAAACTTTCCTTCTTTCTTGAATTTTTTACTAGTCTCTCCTTTATTTCTAGCCAGCAATCTAAAAAAGCCGATCTGTCTAGACTTTATATACCTTATAGACTTTCTCTTCTTGGTATATGCTTTCAAAACACATATCTTTTTCTTCTAGTTAGCAACTTGGCAGTTTAGCTAGTATGTTTCTAGTTACTTAGTTTTTCGATCTTAGTTTCTGGTTCCAAATTCGGTCTTCTTGTAGTACTATTAAAGGCCATTCTACCTCCCAACTCGGGACTTGCCAAAAAGGTTTTCAGTTATTCTGGTTCTTTGAATTTATTATACCAAAGCTCCTATTCTAGATGGTATGACCAAAATTACAGATTAGGATTCAACCAATAGTAATAGCCATTAACTATATTACAGAGCTATTTTTTGAAAATATTGTCTATGAGATTCAAACTCTAAACCTGCTATCTGGAGATGCAACAACTTCACCACTTTACTAAGTTGCTACATCTACTATTTACTTGGCTTTATATGTTTTACTACTTTTAAAAAAAATATATATTCTTTAAAAAAATATATAAAAGCTATTTTTTACACTATTATCTACTTGTTTTTTCTACAAAATTTTTATAAAAAGTAGACAAAACAGTTTACTTCTATCAAAAGATCATTATTGTTTACTCCTTCCAAATTTAAACAACCTAGTAGATTGCAATTATGTGTTTTGTTTACTAACAAATATGGTACTACTCTATAAGTTTAGACTCCTGATTAAAAAAATATTTAAAAATAATTATATAATTAGAAATATTAATACAAAGCTTTATAGTAAAGATATATATTTGTTATATAATTTTTTCAAGCCTTGTACAGATTACAATAGTGTTTTTTAAAATTCACTCTTTCTTTTAATTAGATTAGAGCAGTTAGAGTAGCGTTTATTTCTTTTTTTATATTTTTTTCAGAGTATTGGATAAGACTAGCTATTTATAAAAAGTGTTTAATATTGTTTTTTTAATGAAAATTTTAACTATATATCCAAAACTAAAAAATCAAAAGCTATAAACTTTAGCAATAAAAAAACTTAACTATATGACTAGAAGAAAAGTAGTAGTAGTTAACTATATATCTGAAACTAAAAAATAAAAAAAACTTAACTATATAACCAAATAAAAAAAAGTAGTAATTAAATACAAATTAACTATATATCTAAGACTAAAAAATCAAAAGCTATAAACTTTAGCAATAAAAGAATTTAACTATATGACTAGAAGAAAAGAACTAGTAGTTAACTATATACTCAAGACCAAAAGATAAAAAAACTCAACTATATAACCAGAAAAAAAGTAGTAGTAGTTAAATACAAATTAATTATATATTTAAGATTGAAAAATCAAAAGTTATAAACTTTAACAACAAAAGAATTCAACTATATAACCAGAAAAAAAGAAGTAATAATTAACTATATGCCCAAAACCAAAAGATAAAAGAACTTAACTACAAAACTAAAAGAAAAGTAGTAGTAGTTTAATACAAATTAACTATATACTCTAAGACCAAAAAATAAAAGAACTCAATTATAAAACTAAAAGAAAGAATATAGTAGTTAAATACAGATTAACTATATATCTGAAATTAAAAGATTGAAAAAACTCAACTATAAAACCAGAAAAAAAGAAGTGGTAGTTAAATACAAATTAAATATATACCCAAAATTAAAAGATAAAAAAATTTAATAACATGATTAGAAAAAAAAAAATAGTAGTTAAATACAAATTAATTATATATCTAAGACTGAAAAAACAAAAGAACTTAACTACAAGATTAACAAAAAAAAGTAGTTAAAAAAAATAAAAGAACTCAACTATAGAGCTAGAAGAAAAAAGTGGTAGTTAAATATAAATTAATTATATACTCAAAACTGAAAAACAAAAAAACTTAACTACAAAACGAGAAGAAAAGAAGTGGTAATTAAATACAAATTAACTATATACTCAAGATCAAAAAATGAAAGAACTCAACTACAAAACTAGAAAAAAAGAAGTGATAGTTAAATACAAATTAACTATATATCTAAAACCAAAAAATAAAAGAACTTAACTACAAGACCAAAAAAAAAAAGTAGTAGTTAATACAAATTAACTATATATCTAAGACTAAAAGACAAAAGAACTTAATTACAAAACTAGAAGAAAAAAAGTAGTAGTTTAATACAAATTAACTATATGCTTAAAATTAAAAGCTAGAAACTCTAATAAAGTTTATATTAATTTTAAAACAAATATTTTACTAAAGAAAAAAATATTAAGTATAAAACAAAAAAGATCAAATAAAGAAAAAGCTACAAACAAATAAATACAGAAATAAATAGATAACAAAAAATAATTACAATAATATAAAAAAAAAAAGAATATAAATTATATATTCATTACTAATAAGAGTATAGATATTTATTAGATAATTTTTTAGAGGAGGTGAAGATTAAAAAAATTAATTAATTATATATTAAAAACTAGGAAGAGAAAATAAGCCTCTGATAAAAAAAAATTAGATAATAAATATCTATACTCTAATATAAACATCTGACTAATTTTGGATAGAGTTAAAGAAAATCTTATTTAGTATCCTAGATCTGTTCAAAATATTGTAAAATATTTTGCAATATCTTATATAATATTTTGTAATAATCTTATAAAATATTTTATAATTAGATATTTTGCAATATTGCATAATTTATTATATAATATCAATTATTATAAAATGCACCTATGGTGTTTTAGTACTATATATAATTATATTTAATAAAATTTAGGGTTAGGGTTTGGGTATTAGGAATTATTTTTTTTTTATATAATATAATATAGAGCTAATATAAGGCTCAATCTTAGTTTTTGTGAGATTTTTAGGAGCCCTAAATATTTTTACTTAGAGTACCCAATCTTGTTTACTTAGTATGTTTTTGAGAAATAGAAACCTAGGGTGGTAAAACACCATAGATGTGTTTTAGTAAAAGTGATATAATATTATAGCTTTTTATCTTGTATAGATTAGTTCTTGAAACATATTAAGTTTTGTTAAAGATCTTGGTTTATATATAGTGAAATATAGAGTGTTAAAGTAATAATCGCTTTATTATATTTTCTTTTATACGTTTATAGCATACTGTATTTTTCGAATATATGCTATATATGCATTTTCTTTCTATGTATAAGGCTTTCGTTTTCTTGCAGTTTTTTATTAATAGTTAATGCCGATATTGTAATAAAACTATGAATTTGATTGGCTAATAATCATAGGTAGATCTACAAAAATTAACCAATTAGGCGAATTTCTACCTATGAGATAAATATGATATTATATCAATTTCACGAGGATACAACTAGCCACACGTGTACTTTTGGTACCTAATTTAAGTAGTCTGCCTGGGTTCTACACTAGCTGCCATACCTGCAACCTAACTAGGAGATTACCTATTTAAGCTCTCTGATTATTTAACTAACAAGAGTATGACTAGCTATATATATAACTTTTAGTTACCTATTTAAGTAGTCTGCTCTAGGTTCCACACTAGCTGCCGTACCTGCACCCAACTATGGGAGGATACCCATTTAAATTCTCTGGCTCTATTTCTGTAACACGCTTTACACTAACACTCTTAATAAGATTAGCAATACCTAAAACATATTTATTTAAAATATTAAGATAGAATTATTTAATAATATTTTAAAAACTATAATATTTTTTATAATTTTATTAATAAAATTATAAAAAATATTATAATTCCTACAATTTTACTAATTAACTTTGTATCTATATTCCAAGTAAACTTATTCTATATATAAAAATATATTATATTAGTATAAATTTACTATACAATTTTAAAATTTAAAAAAACAATATTTAATTTTAAAAATTTTAATCAAAATTCTAAAATGAAACTTTTTTTCTTAAATTTTAAAATTATAAAGTAAATATATATCAATATAACCTATTTTTATATATAAAATATGTTTACTTAAAATATGAAGATAAGATTATTTAGTAAAATTTTAAAAATTATAATATTTTTTATAATTTTATTAATAAAATTATAAAAAATGATTGGGGTTGGGATTCCACAGCCTAGTAGTCTAGTTACCTAACTCTTCACAAGCAAGTTTTGGGTTCAAGTTCTAGTAAATGTGGATTCTATAAATACTTGAATATACTTATACATAGAAAAGTCCAAGTGAGTACAAATTTGGATTAGAAATTTTTAAAAAGAAATCCATTGTGAAGTGTTGGCACTACATGTAATAGCAATTGTTATAGAAGATTCTATAATACAATAGTCATGCGTATAAATTCTCAATTGGCATAAATAGTACCAACAACCTCTAAGGCAGTATTAGGAATCTTGGTTAGGAAGATGACCAGGCGGTTACTAAAATTGAAGTGGTGAAAAAAGTGGTAAAACACAAAGAAACTTATAGTAAAGAATTGGTCTTATTAAATTTAAAACATATCTGGCACTATATAGATTAGTGATTCAAGCTGATTAAATTTTTATGGCTAGGCTAAGCCATTATATTTTTAATGGCTTAGCAGCTTAGCCAATAATTTATATTATACTGAATTATAGAATATCTAATATAGTATTTCATCAATTAAAAATAAGATATATATATATAGCTTTTTAGATTCAGATTTACTTTAATTATTCTGACTGTTTTTATATTATAGAATTTTAAATTACAAATTAAATTCTTGAAAACAAATAAGTATTTAATCAAATAGAGATTTGTTACCAAAGCTTATATATATTATATATTAAATTGAAATTGTGTTAGATTAAAATATCAAAACTTACTTGAAATCACAACTCTTTCTGATGATCCCTCACACCAAAAATTCTACTAATACCAATCTATGAATATTGTATAGTTAGTATGTTTTTTCATAACAAAACTTTGCCAAATAGTATCTGGGTTCAAAAGTTTCAGATTGCATGTAAGCACTATGAAATAAAGTTAAAAAAGACAGCTTCTTGTGGGTTTGGCTCTCCAGTAGATGTTTATGAAGCTATCGAACAAGTAGCTTTGGTGACAACCAAGAAAGTTTTTGTCAAGTTATATCAGAGCAAGCGCAAGGATAAAAGCTTGGATAAATATACTATTCTATATAATATAAACTCTTATACTCCTTGTTTTGGTGCTTACTCTGGCCTGTCATTTTTGCTATCACCTATTTGTGCTTTCAACAAAATTTTCAGAAAAAGTAGGCAAAACAGCTTACTCCTGTCAGAAGATCAGCATTGTTTACTCCTTTCAAATCTAAACAACCAGGTAGATTGTAACCATGTGTTTTGGGGTGATCATAACGATAAATACAGTACTACCTACAGAGAACCGGGATCTTCCATTTATTTTACATCTGGCTTTGGTCATATATTAGAAAGAAGTTTCTAAATAAAGTGAAACTTTACAATCGAGATATACTATAGTTGCAGTAGTTATATAATTTTTATTATTAACCACAATTGCTTCTTGATAGAGGTAGATTGGTCAGCCCATAGAGGCTTTTCTCTTTGTTTTTCTTTTTTTATATTCCTCTGTTCTCCTATTTATCTTCCTTTTTGATTCCCATTTTGTTTATGTGTTTTTTTTGTTTTTTTTTTTTTTTTTAGTTTTAGTTTTCATTTTGCTTCTTAATGTTAGTTCTGTATTAGTGATACAGAATTTTACTTTCTTGTGCTTTCGGTAAAGAAAGAAAGATTGAAGGGATTAGTTCTTGATGGATTGGCAAGGTCTCCTGATACATATGTAAGTTAGTGTGACAAGTCGCATCTGGGTGCAGTATTTGTAGCCGGGTGATGTTGGGCTCGTAATTGCAAAGGGCATTTACTAAAAATAGGTTTTATTTTTTTTAAGACAGATTTTACCATATAAATATTTGTATTGTAGCACCGACAAGACTGTCAAAGAATAAAAAAAAAAAAAAAAACTACAAATTTGCACTTTTCATCAAAACCATCTTCTAAACTTATTTTTTAAGTTTAGAAAAAGTTAAAGAGCTCACTCTTCCCATCCTAACAAGCTATAAAACAAATTTGTAGTATCAAAACTGATCAAAATATAATCAAATTACTCCAAACTTCCTTATACTTTTTATTTCATTTTTTTTTTTTTGTAAAAAGCTCTATAGGCGTTTTTTGTGCAATCTACATACCCCCAAACCATGCCACCCATGTTTTAAATAATCCAAAACTAGTGGTTCTCTTTAAATATACAAATTACAAATCAAATTTATACAAATTAATAATCTAATTTACACAAAACAAATATTTACTTTTTTGTATTCTTTTTAATTAACACAGAGTAAAGTACTCTAGTACTACAAATTTGTCTAATCTGTGCAATACAGTACCTGGCCCAACATGTCATCTGATATGTGACCTTGTAGCACATAACCTCTTGTACTATTTATATTAATCTTACTAGCTTAACATTACATGAAGATTTTTTTACTCTATTTAAAAGTTCTCTTTTAGCCAAATCATAATTTATTATTTTTTAAATCTGATTTATTATTATCAAACATATTTTTTAAACAAATTTTTTTTATAACTTGCCAAATTCAAAAGATATTTTTCTTTTTTAGTTTATATTATAAACATATCTCAATATGCCTACTCTTATTTCTAGCAAGCTTGATTCTTTTACCTTGACTACTAGTACTTTAGGTACCCAATTGCCATGGTCTCACAATGATAGAAAACAAACCTGAAACTCTTCATATTCTTTCTATTAATGTTAATTCAAAACTCTGCGAAGATAAAACAACAAAAAATACCACTACTTTCATCTACCTACTTAATTTGCACTTAAAATATGTATTTGTGAAAAGTTTTATGCAAACTTTATCTCAAAATTTTACAAAATCTCCTACCCCAACAACAACCAACTCGAACCTTACTTATGGATATGACTTCAATTATCTCTAAACAAAATTACCAATGAACTTCCTTTATTACCTGCTTCTAAAATCACTCCCAGAATTCTCTTTTCTAACTTTTCTCCCCAACCAAACCCCAATTTGAAAATCATTTCTCACTTTTAGCACCTATATTACTGCTCTATCTGGAAAGTTAACAATATATCTTGTGTCATTTCTAATGATAACCAATATCTTCCAGATACAGAAAATAGCTTTATTTTCAAAGGAAGACTCTTTCATAATTCTTGCAAACCTCAAATTCTTTATATCAAATACAAACCTCTTCTACAAACTAAACCTTTTACCTCTTTCTAATGTGTAGCATTTCTTGTCTACATATTCAAATACTCTACCAAATCCTTAAAGAAAAACTTTCTCAAAAAAGTTCTCAAACTTGTTAAACTTTCTACTCAACAATAGCAACAATCACAACAACCTCAACAAGATCTTGCTCTCTCTCAAGACCAAAAACAACAACAACAACAACAACAAAACTTTCCTCCTTTTCAAGAAATCTTTAGCCAAACTTTATCTCAAGAGACTACTAATACAACTAATAAAAGTACTAAAACAAATAATACACACTTATCTCGTAATACTTCCAAAGACTTAGACTAGTTTAAACAATTCTCTATTATAGAAAAGATGAAACCAAATACCAAATTAGAAACCCAACTAGCACAAGATTTATTTAATTTCATCAAACCTTTTCTTGTTAATTTTACTTCTGGTCAATCTATCTTTTCTACTTACGAAAACAAAAACCCAACCAATCCCAACTACAAATCTTCCAAACAAAGTTTTAATTATTTTCTAAAAATAATGACACAAAGACTTCCCAAATTTCTTATCAATTTTATTAAAAAATTTAATTCAGATCTTGACCTCTCTTTTAATCTTCTCTTTACTGCAATTCAAACTACCCTCAAAAACCTTCTTGCTAAATTTACCCAAATATTCTTCACTAAACTTAACTATACTCATATTCTCTAGTCACATTACTCTATCCCACCATATATAGCTGCCAACTATAACAAAGTTGCTATTAATTTAGCATGTCTGCACTTATTTTTACATAATCACTACCAAACTATCTATTACCAAAATTTTATTCAAGACTTGGACATCAAATCTATTTGACTTATCCTAAAATACAATATCCTTGTTGATAAACCAAACAAACCTCTCTTTGATATCTATAATGATAGAAGATTTAATATCTTTGTAACATTAAACCTTCCCAAAGAAAGATTCTTAGAAATCTTCTATATTCCATCTTTAAAACTCTATCTTAATAGCTTTAAAGATTGGTATAAAAAATTCTTTAAAACATACAGCAAACAATTTAAAAAAATCAACAAAACAAAAGTCTTTAATTTCATCAAATATAATATTGCAATCAAACTTTCTAAAGACTGCAAAGCTCTATTACCTTCAAAATTTACTTTCTTTGAAATATCTTCCTTCCAAGAACATAAAGACAACTCATTCCAAGCTGCACTCTTCTACCTGTATATATGTAAAAACAAAAATTGCAATATCTTTCTAATTAACAAAGAACACAATCTAAAGGAACTTTATTCCTTCTTTCTTACAAAATTCTTTGAAAAATTCCCTCCTTCTGAACCTTCATCTACAAAAGAAACAAGAAACTTCTCTAAACTTGATTTTACAATCTTTTTATCAAACCAAAAACTCTATACTAAACTATTTTCTCTTCCTTCTTTTCAAGAACTTGCAATCCAAGCAAATCAAAAATATATAAAGCTTATTAACCAAAACTCTGTATTTACTTTCCAATAAATCACTTTCTATCTATATATCTCAAAGAATATTTTCACCAAGCAGCAAAAAATAATAGTATAGCAGACCTTGATCTCAATGCTGTATTAACCAAAATTATTTTCACCATCTCAGACCCTCATACTTTTGCCAGAGTTATCATCTACTATGATCTTGCCTATAGAATCTCAACTTCTGAACTCAGAAAAAAATATGATCAAAATTACTTTACATAAGCAGAACAATTTATTATTAAATACTTTAAGCTAAATATCTCTTCATAACTTGATGACTCTCTTTTTCTTAAAAATCAAATAATCATATCTCTGCCTCTAATTCTTTTTTTGTCTAAACTTGTCTTCTACAAATAACATAAATATAGCTACCATTATACTAAAAGATGCACTCATAGCAATTAATATAGAAAATGATGTAAGTAGACAAGCAGTAAAGCCTATTTACATAGAAGAATCAAGTAATGACAGTCAGACTCAACGCACAGAGCAGACTCTAGGTTCTTGCACAGCTATAAGAGCTAGGCATACGGTGAACGTTTTTGTAGAAGTTTTATCCTCTCTTAGATATTAAATTATTCTACTTTTCTAAGAAGATAGGCATTAATGAATTTCCTAACAAACACAATTTAACACACTTTTTATTCTTTTAAATCCTCTAACTATTCTTTTTTTTCTTTTTTTCAGTATTAAGGTGACCTCTTTGGCCATGGGGACTCTTTATTAGTAATCATTTACTATTACAGTTACAATAAAGATACAACTAGCCACACATGCATCTTTTAAGTACCTATTTAAGTAGTCTGCCCACAGGTTCTACACTAGATGCCATACCTATAACCCAACTAGAGAGTTGCCTATTTAAACCTTCTGATCCTAACCATTTTTAGCATATTATACTAATCTGAGAACTACTATCTGGCCCATTTCACTAGATTGCATACCCTGTCTTAGAACTTCCATGATTTATTTTGGGTTTGCACCAACTAATTACTGGCTTGCATTTCTCTGTTAAGCAAATGCATAGCTATTCTCAAGTAAACCTACTGGAGCTTTCTATATTCTGTATCCAGCTAACCTAGTCATTGCAATTGCCAAGGCTCCCACTCGCAGTTTGGTGTAACCTAATTGAACTGCTATACCCTTATAAGGTTCACTTCAACCCCAGTACTTACATTCAGGTCTTCTTTTTTCCATAATTATTTTATTGGTCTCTCTTTTACTCCCAACCTGTGACCTGAAAGATTTGATTCTGGCTATGCTCTAGGTGTCTTATGCTCTATCTCATCATGGTATATGATTTTATAGCACATATTCTTTTCTTCCAATTGGGTCCAGTTTAGAGATTAAGCCCAGGTAAGGCTTACCTGGGTAACCTGTATAAGCACTTCTTAATCGGGTCATGGTTATGCTACCCAGGTAATTCGGATAAAAATCAGATTGCATTATACTAGGGTGTCCAGGATTATGCGGTGCGATAGGGTAAATTATGCGATGCGATTGGTTTCAGAGTTTACTTTCTGTCCGAAATATTATAATATCAATTTCCCAGTATCCATATCAACTAGTCATATTCGAGCCATATGATACAGGTACTTTTTTTGCCTGATTATGCGAAGCATCCGTGGATGTGAAAATTTTTTAAATTATGCACATATTATGCTTTCGCATAATCCTAGACACCCTACATTACACGCAATAATAATAACATAATCACATTAAATAATCAAGACAATTATGAGCCCAAATTGTTGCTTTGAGTTTTATTTTGACAATAATTCACTGATTTTCAATAGAATATAGGTTGGGACTACAAAAACCTTTGTCAAGACAATTTTCTATCATTGCTTTATATTACTCCCGCTTAACACAATTGCACCATAATTAGATATTTAGTGTTTGCCAATTGCCATAAGAAACCGTGATATCTTGCTAGTTTTCTTGTCATGGTACGTATGTACGTATGTATTTGTAGAACTGAGAAAGGTAGATTTGGTACTTACGTACGTTAATCATTATTTGAAGGCCAAATTTAGTAATGTCAAATTTAAATATATGACCAATTTAGGATGGGCTTAGATTCTTATTTGGATTATGCGTTCCAAGATGGTATATGAAAGACATATCGATATTGTATGATGCCGTTAGAAAAATTGCATGATAATTGGTTTAAGAAAAAAAGAATTATATCATAGTGAAAATGTATATTTATCTTTATTGAAGACTGCATTGGAAAGATGCAGAAAAAGTTGCGTGCAAATTTTAAAGAAATCATGTCATAGCGAAAATATAGGGTCACCCTATTGAAGATCATATCAGGATGCAATTAGAAAATTGCGTGATGGTAATAATGAGCTTAAGAGAAAGAAAAAGTTGTGTGCAAATTTTAAAAAAATCATATTATAGCGAAAATATAGGGTCACCCTATTGAAGATCATATCAGGATGCAATTAGAAAATTGCATGATGGTAATAATAAGCTTAAGAGAAAGAATTATATATCATAAGATTACCTTTATTAAATTATATATTCAAATCTGGGGGAATGCGATTGTATTAGGGAAGACCCAAGTAAAAGATAGCAAAAGTTGCAGCGAAAGTGTAGGGTTCTCATTATTGAATTATGTCGCAAATCAGAAAATTGGTGTAAAGAATTATAGCAAAGTGTAAAATTAAAAATATATTTAAACAATGCTTTTTAACCTTGAATAAATCTTCAATAAAATTTGATTCTAATACTTGAAGATATTTTATTTTATTTTATTTTTTTATTGATTATTAAAAATTGTCATATATACTTATTTAATATAAAGTATCACTTACATCATAATTACTACATTCATTTTTTCTCTATATTATATAAATTGAAATCGCTTGATATTATATTGCACATTAAAGTTACAATAAATAAAAAAAATGGGATCTCAAGAAGAATCTAGTTCGAGCCTTCAAAAAAGTATATACACTAACGAAACTAATAGCGAAAATGATAGTAATGGTACTCCTTCCATTACAAATATATTAAGTAGTACTAAAAAAAAGAGAAGTAGAAGTAAAAAAAGTTTCGTGTAGAAATACTTTAAAGTAGTTGAGAAAAAAGATGGAAAAAAAGACGTATGTCAAGTTATGGTTAAAAAAAATGGAGAAGACAAAAAATGTGAAACGGAATACTTCTATGACAATTCAACATCAAATATAATTGCTCATCTAAGATCGCATAATATCATAGATAATAAAAAACTAAAATCTGAAACACAACAGAATAGGCAAGCTACATTAACTAAAATGATCTGATCTGATACTCCACATAAGAGCGATAAGCAAAGAGAATTAAATAAAGCAGTTGTTGAATAGATACTTCTTGATAATCAACCACTATCAGCACCAAGAAAAAAAGGATTCCGTCACATGATGGCAAAAGTTGATCTGAAATTTCGCCCACCTTCTGATAGAGTAATAAGAAATGAAATAACATTTAGTTACTTAAAAAATGTTGACACTCTTCGGCATGAGATTGAATTATCTTGCAAAACTGCTACAATAACATCTGATTTGTGGACTTCGTGTAATAACCAAGGCTATATTGGAGTTACTTGTCACTGGGTAACTTCTAACTGGTTATTACGTAGTGTATTATTATGTTGTGAAAAATTATCTTACCCACATACCGCAAAATCTATTTATCAATTTATTTAAACAAAGTGTTCTGAATATAATTTAGAAAATAAAATTGTATGTGCCATTACTGATAATGGTGCAAACATGGTAAAAGCT